AGGCTGAGGTGGAAGAATCACTCGAGCTCAGGATTTGGAGACCAGCCTGGGCAACATGCTGAAACCCTATCTCTGCCAAAAAAAAATGGCAAAAATGTGCTGGGCATGGTGGAGCGTGCCTATAGTCCCAGCTACTCGGGAGGCTGAGGCAGGAGCATCACCTGAGCCCAGTAGATCGAGACTGCAGTGAGCTACAATTGTGCCACTGCACTCCAGCCTCAGTGACGCAGCAAAACCTGTTTCCAAAAAAACAAAAAGATGATGCATATTAGGGTAAAAAAAAAAAGATTCTTCAAATAATCCCCAATAAGATGTTGAAAATGGGCAGAAAGAGATGTACAAAAAGAAAACAACAAGGTGGCTGGGCATTGTGGCTCACATCTGTAATCCTAGCACTTTGGGAGGCCGATGCGGGTTGGTTACCTGAGGTCAGGAGTTCAAGACAAGCCTGCCAAACATGGCAAAATCCTGTCTCTACTAAAAATACACAACCTCGCCAGGCATGGTGGCGCACACCTGTAATCCCAGCTACCTGGGAGACTGAGACAGGAGAAGCACTTAAACCAAGGAGGCAGAGGTTGTAGTGAGCTGAGATTGTGCCACTGCACTCCAGCCTGGGAGACAGCGCGAGACTCTGTCTCATAAAGAAAAGAAGACCAGAAGGAGGCGTACTAATGGTGACAGTGGCCTCTGGGTGTTTCCTTACTGCTGATCTGCAAATGTGTTTTTTTAACCCATGTTTCCTAGGGTGACACAGTATTATTTCTCTAAGGAGCAGAGAGCAGGAGGGGAACAATGTCAATAACAACTATACCTAATATTTAAAAAACCCAAATCTGTCAGATTGAACATGATGTCTAGGTAAGAAATAAAAAAATAAAAACCCAAATCGGAAGCTAAAGCAAGAGCAGTCCAGGGTATGGCTGTCCCAGGCCAAGCCTTCTGCAGAGATTTAAGCTGCTCATGGCTCATGTGTTTATCACATTCAAGGTGACGGGCTTGCAGGACAGAGTTGGTGTCTCTGAGACCACATGGCCAGCACAGGCAGGTTCAAGACAACTCTACAGAAGAGCGAAGGAGAAAGAAGTCAAGGGAGGAGCTCGGCATTGGGGCCCAGCCTTAACCTGTGATCCCCTAGAAGGTGATCTTGGACAGGAAGGAGGCACGGAACTCTGGGCAAGGATACTAGTGGAAAGAAAGAACGGGTTAGCGAGGAAGAGGGAAGGGAACAATTCAACTTTTCATCCAGGCCAGAGCTTAGCAGGGAGTAGTCAGCTGCCCATTCTTCCTTCAAGAGGACCAGCGTCTGCTCCATACCATTCTGTACCCCAAAAGGATTCTCTCCTAAGCCCCAGGAGAAAGAAACTCACAGCAGCTTCTCCCGTTTCACTCAACAGAGTGTCTACCACACGCAAGCACAATACAACAAGCTACCGACCTGCCTTATCTTCTAACCCCGCAACAACGCTAGGAGCTGGTGTTACGGTCATTCCCACTTTACCCATTCATTCAACAAATATTTTCTGAGCACCTACTATGTGCTCGGCACTCTACAACGTACTACAGAGTTACCTCAGATCCCCATGACAACCTCATAAGCTGGTATTATTATTGTCCCCTTTTCCTCATTGGATATTTATTGACACCTACTATGAGCTAGACAAGCTACCAAGAACTTATATACTTGCATTATTTTATATCCTCACGGAACGCTATAAACATGGTATTACTGTTATCTCCACTTCATTCATTCATCCAACAAATATTTCCTGTGCACCATCCATGTGCCAAGCACCCTACATACAAATCTAAACAAACAGAAACAGCCCCTGCCTGTATGGAGCTTGTGGTCCACTGCAGTAATCATCAGTAATACCTGCCAAGATTCTCTACTATTAATAGATAGTTCTAAGTGCTTTATACAAGTTACCCTATTTAATCTTCATCCCCACTTCACAAGGCAGGTCAAAGGATTATATCATTCCTGTTTTGCAGTTAAAAGAAACTGGGAACCAGAGATGAAATGATTTGTTCAAAGTCCCACAGCTAAAAGTGGTGGAGACAGGATGTGAGCCCTGCAGAGTCAGGCTCCAGAGAGACATGCATCAAATGATCACACGAACAAATGCAAAACTGCAACTTCTGGGCCGTGATATGTGTCCTGAAGGTAGAGAAATATGACCAACGAGACAAACTCTGCACATGGGGACTGATCTGGTGTACCAAGGTCAGAGAAGGCTCCCGCAAGGAAGACAGTCAAGCTGGTGCCTGAAAGATGAGTAGAGGAGAACTAAGTAATGAGAAAAGGCAAGGCACTCCCAGCAGACAGCAGTGTGTGTAAAGGCCCGGTGGTAGAAGGAAGCATGGCAGACTCCAGGAACCAAGAGGGGGCCTGAGCAGTCTACACCAAAGGCTGTGCACAGTCTACACTGCAGGCCACGTATTTTTGTATTCATTCTAAGGGCAAGGAAAAGTACTGAGAGACTCTAAGCAAGCTACCAAAGAACTTATCTCCCAGAGACACGAAGATGAGCCCCAGCTCAACATACAGGCAAGGAAAGGAACCAACGGAGTCCTAGGATGACAGACCAAGCCTGGCTTTCAACACAGATGCATTCAGGTCAAAATTCTGAAACACAAGCTTTAAGCAGGAGAGGAAGAAATGTCACCACGTAGCAATGAGAGCTTTAGCCAAGGACTCCACTCAAAGTCCCAGCCTTGTGCAGAGAGAAATAAGGCATTTACAGAGCCGATAAGGTGGCATACTCTCCTCAAGTGGTTTCCACATCCAAGGCTGGGCATGCTTTTTAAAAGATACTGTATCCTGGAAGGGTGTGGTGGTTCACACCTGTAATCACAGCACTTTGGGAGGCCAAGGGGGCAGATTACTTGCGGTCAGGAGTTGGAGACCAGCCTGGCCAAAACCCTGTTTCTACTAAAAATACAAAAATTAGCTGAGAGTGGTGTCTCACAACTGTAGTTCCAGCTACTCAGGAGGCTGAGGCAAGAGAATCATTTGAACCCAGGAGGCAGAGGTTGCAGTGAGCTGAGATCCCACCACTGCACTCCACTCTGAGGACCCCATCTGTATCTGGGCCCTATCCCCACCAGGATTCTGATTAAGTTGGTTTGGAGTGCGACTGGGTCACTGAAACTTTGTTTTTGTTTTAAATGTTTCACATTCTTCTTGCAAAAGTGGCTGGGCAGGAAATATGCAAGATAAGCCAAGAACATTGTGTCATACTGGACAATACAGAAACTAAACAAATAGTATTGTTAGCAGGCCCAAGAGCCAAGCACAAGTGACACTGCAGGCTAAAAAAGGGACAATTTGAGCTTGGACAAGGAGAGTAAGTGCAATGGGCTGAAACATACCATGTATGCTTTGTTTTGTTTTCAGACTGAGTCTTGCTCTGTCTCTCAGGCTAGAGTACAGTGGCGTGATCTTGGCTCACTGCAACCTCTGTCTCCTGGGTTCAAGTGATCCTCCCACCTCGGACTCCCAAGTAGCTGGGATTAGAAGCATGAGCCAAGACACTGGGCTAATTTTTATATTTTTAGTAGAGATGGGGTTTCACACTGTTGGCAACCGGGCTCATCTTGAACTCCTGATCTCAAGTGATCCACCCGCTTCGGCCTCCCAAAGTGCTGGGATTATAGAAATGAGCCACCATGCCTGGCCAAAAACCTCCATTTTTACTTAAGGTTTTAATAATTAATTTCACATTATAATGTGAAAAGTAATCAGTCCCTGGCAATCTTATCCCCAAAACAGGGGCTGATTACTTTGCTCAGTCTCGTTTTCCTTCAAATCACCTATTTTGAGTATATACACCAGTTTCATTTTCCACCCCTGTATAGGGGCGGTAAATACTACTAGGGAAAAACCCATAATTAGCACAAGTACAAACTCAAGGTTTCCAACCTGGGCATAAGCATTGCTTTGTAATTTTTATCCATCCCAGATTATAGTCTCCTATTACCCCAAAATGAAATCTCAAACAAATGTCCTTCATTCTGCATAAAACCCATGCTGGCCCCTCAGTGGAAAACATCAACCATAAATTATGGATCTCTTCTCCTTTACCTTCACACCACTCATCTCTTGCACTGACTGTGCTTATTACCATGTATGTCTAGCATTAGGCTGGATCCCTAGAGGAGAGGAACTCACATTCATTTCTTGGTCCCAAGGGCCAAACTCCAAGGTGCAATTAAGGAAAGAACTAACTCCAATTCTTTTGAGTTCTGAATTCGTGTTCCTCTCAAAAATGGCAGTATGTATTCAAGCTCTGCTTATTTTCCTGATCCAGTTCTCCACCTTTGGGGCTCTTACAAAATAGGCCAGGAAGTCAAAAATGTCTCGAGATTACTCCCACATGGTAATCTTTGCAAATAAAACTCTTAGACCTAACCTTACATTAATACAAATTTCATGGTACTTTTTTTTTTTTTTTGGAGACAGCGTCTTGCTCTGTCACCCAGGCTGGAGTATGATTACAGCTCACTGCAACCTCATCCTCCTGAGCTCAAGCAATCCTCCCCACCTCAGCCTCCAAGCACAAGCCAGCATGTGTGGCTAATTTTTTTGTAGAGATAGGGTTTCACCATGTTGTCCAGTCTGGTCTCAAACTTCAGGGCTCACAGGATCCACCTGTCTCAGCCTCACAAAGTCGTGGGATGACAGGCGTGAGCCTCTGTGTGCAGCCCTAATACCACATTTTAATTGTGTGTTGGATTGAAGGAAGAAACGGGTACTCCATTTTCTTTCATTTCCCAGTCCTAACTGGTTTTGTTTTTTTTTTTTTGTTTTTTTTTTTTAATTTTTTATTGGATTATAGGTTTTGGGGTACATGAGCAGAGCATGCAAGACAGTTGCGTAGGTACACACATGGCAGTGTGCTTGCTTTTCTTCTCCCCTTCACCCACATTTGGCTTTTCTCCCCAGGCTATCCCTCCCCACCTCCCCCTCCCACTGGCCCTCCCCTTTTCCCCCCAATAGACCCCAGTGTTTAGTACTCCCCTTTCTGTGTCCATGTGTTCTCATTTTTCATCACCCACCTATGAGTGAGAATATGCGGTGTTTCATTTTCTGTTCTCGTGTCAGTTTGCTGAGGATGATGTTCTCCAGATTCATCCATGTCCCTACAAACGACACAAACTCATCATTTCTGATTGCTGCATAATATTCCATGGTGTATATGTGCCACATTTTTCCAATCCAGTCTATTATCAATAACCGGTTTTAAACACACTAATATTAAAGTTTAAATGCCCTAGAGCTGAAAAAGAGATTTAAAAATTTGACAGTTTCACAGTATCTGGTATAAGTTGAAGTAAAATAATAAGCAAGATTTGAGTGAATTTTACATCTTTAAAAATGAAATCAGAATAATCTGAGAAAAGATTTCAGAGATAAAAAGCATGGTTTGGCCAAATTTAAAACAGCAATAGAAGCAATAAGTAGCAGATGAAATATTACCAAACAAAAATTAGTAACATAAAAAAAAATCAGTAAATGAATTATCCCACAACTCCAATCAAAAGGACAAAATAGATTAACAAGATGAAAGAAAAAATGTTACAAATACACAGATCAACCTTACCAATACTGTGTATAGAAAGAAAACAGTATTTTTTTTGACAAATGTATTGAGCATCGAGCATCTAGTATACTACACCCACGATACAGTAGAGAATCAGAGAGACGTGAAATGTGTCTTCACAACATTCACATTCTAGAACAAATGAAGCTGAAGTAGTAACCAAAGAAATTACTGAAGAAAACTATGCGTATGAAGAAACGGGGCAGGAAGAGAAGGAAAGGAAAGAAATAAATGTGTACATTTTATGTTCTAGCCAATTTTAAGGCAAAGAGATTCTGACAGAATTTCAAAGATTTCAGAAATAAAGTAAGTATCCTTCAAGCACGGTGAGGACTGTCTGGGGTAATCACGTTTTTTTAAAAATCTGGGTGGCAATGTTTTAAAACAAATACCACGTGTGGACAAGGGTATGGTTAAATTGGCACTCACACACATTTGAAGTGGGAACATAAATTGTTTTACTTTTCTAGACATAAATTTGACAATTCTACTTCATGTAAAGCTTAAGAACCTTACCAAGGTTTCTCCCAGGCATGGTAGCTGACGCCTGCAATCCCAGCACTTTGGGAGGCTGAGAAAAGTGGATCACTTGAGGTCAGCTGGATCAGCTGAGGTCAGGAGTTCCAGACAAGCCTCATGGTCAAACTTCATCTCTGCTAAAAATAAAAAAATTAGCTGGGTGTGGTGGTGTATACCTGAAATCCTAGCTACTTGAGAGGCTGAGGCAGAATTGTTGAACCCAGGAGGCAGAGGTTGCAGTAAGTATCACCAAAGTGATACTGTTGAATCAGTCAATCAATCAATCAATCGATCAATCCTTACTAAGGTTTCTTATACCCTTCCCATCCCCTTCCATTCTTTGTGCTATTGTCGTACCTTTTACTCCCATGTGTAATAAAACTTGTAATGCATTATTATTTTTGCTTTAAACAACTATCTTTTTAAAGCTACTATTTCTTTAATTCGCAGTGTTGTGCAACCATCGCCACCAATTGCAGAACATTTCCATCAGGCAGAAAGGGAAATCCTGTACCTGTTAGCAATCACCTTCAATACAAGAGTCTTTTAAAGAGATAAAAAAAGAAAAAAAAGTTGTCTTATTTTTACTTCCACATTAGTTCTAGCACTTCTCAATCTTTGGTGAAGATCTAAATTTCCATTTTAAATCATTTGCCTCCTGCCTGAACAACTTCAACATTTCCTCTGGAGGTCAGCCGGCAACAACTTCCAGTAGGCCTTTCTTTTTTGAGACAGGGTCTCGCTCTGTCACCCAGGCTAAAGTGCAGTGTGGCTCAATTACAGCTCACTGCAGCCTCTGCTTCCTGGGCTAAAGCAATCCTCTCACCTCAGTCTCCCAAGGAGCTGGGACCACAGGCACGCGCCACCATGGCTGGCTGATTTTTGTATTCTTTGTAGAGATGGGGTTTGCCAAGTCACCCAGGCTGGTCTCAAACTCCTGGATTCAAGCAATCCTCCTGCCTCAGCCTCCCAAACTGCTGGGATTGCAGGTGTTGGCCACTGCACCCAGTCCCAGTAGGCTTTTTTAAAAAGTACCTTAAAGGTGTCTCTCCAGGCCAGGCACAGTGGCTCACACCTGTAATTCCAGCAATTTGGGAGGCCGAAGCAGTCAGATCATGAGGTCAGGCGTTTGAGACCAGCCTGGTCAACATAGTGAAATCTTGTCTCTACTAAAAATACAAAAGTATTAGCCAGGTGTGGTGGCATGCACCTGTCACCTCACCTACTCGGGAGGCTGAGGCAGAAGAATCACTTGAACCTGGAAGGCAGAGGTTGCAGTGAGCCGAGATCAGGCCACTGCACTCCAGCCTGGGCAAAAGTGAGACTGTGTCTGGGCAGGGAGGGGGGAATTAAAGAGGTCTCTCCATTGTATTCTGATTTGCTAAATTTCTGATGAGAAGTCTGCTGTCATTCTTATCTCTCTTACTCTGTACGTGATGTGTATTGTTTTTCTCTGCCTGCTTTCAAGATTTTCTCTTTATTATTGATTGTCAACAATGTGATAATGATGTGCCTTGGTGTGGTTATCTTTATAGTTATTCTCCCTGGGATTCTTAAATATGTGGGCTTATAGTTTTCAGCAAATTTGGAACTTTTCTGGTCATGATTTTTTTACAATCTCTTTTCTGTTCTCCCCTTTCCCTCTTTTCTGGGGCTCCAATTACATATATGTCAGACTGTTTCTAACTCTTTGTTATACTCATTGATGCTCTATCAATTTTTCCATTTTTCTTTCTGTTCTCATTTTGGACAGTTGCTATTGCTGTCCTGAAGTTCACTGATGTGCAGTGTCTCTACTGTTAATGCCATCATTGTACTTTAAAATTTATTTTGAACTCTAGATGTTCTGTTTGGGTCTTTTAAAAATATACCTTCCAGTTCTCTTCCCATGATGTTAACCATCTCTTCTTCTTTTCTGAACTGAGAGCGTATTTATAGTTGCTGTTTTCATGTCTTTGTTAATTCCATCATCTCTGTCATTTCTGGATCTAGTTCTGATGACTGTTCTCCTGATTATGTCACTTTTCCTGGTTTTTTGCATGCTTGGTCATGTTATTGAATGCCTAACACTATGAGTTTTGTGTTTTGGATTTTATATACTCCTTTAAATAGCACTGGACTTTGATCTCACACACAGGTAAGATTCTTTCGATTGGCTGTGTGAGATTAATCTTTACATCTTCCAAGACTTGCTTTTTCATTGTTAGAGTAGGTCCAGAGCAGCCTTAAACTTAGGGCTAACTTAGCCTCATTACAAAAGGCCATGCCCTTTTGATGCCCTTGTATATACTCTGGCTAATGGCAACACAGACTATTCCAGCTCTGTGTGAGTTCCAGGAATCGTTTGGCCTGCTCCTTTCCAGTGGGGTTCTTTCTCTGGCCTCAGATGCTTTACTCTCATGCATGTGTAGATCAGGACTCAACCTGACTTCAGGAGACTCCTCCACCTGCCTCTGGAGTTCTGTGTACAACTCCCACCTCTCTGGTACTCTGCCCCACAAATTATGATAATCTTTCCTCCCCACCAATCCCCATCTTGTCCTCTCAATTCAGTAAGACACCAGGCTTTATTTGGGTTCACCATCCCTGCTCTACAGCCTGAAAACTACCTCCAGATGGTAAATTGGGGCAACCATACAGCTCAGCAGGTTTGTTTCCCACCTTTCAGTGAAAACAGTCTTGTGTTGCCTGTCACCCAATGCCCACAAATTGCTATTTCATATATTGTCCAGTTTTCTGGTTGCTTAAAATGGCAAAGTAAATCCAGTCCTTGTTATTCCATCACTGCTGGACAGAATATATATTCAAGTACATATTCAAGTAACAGTTTCTCAATTTCGTATCTTGTTGTTACTGTTTTGAGACAGGGCTCATTCTTGCCCAAGCTGGAGTGCAGTGGCTCATAACTCACTGCAGCCTCAAACTCCTGGACTCCAGGCAACCTCCCACCTAGGCCTCCCAAAGCACTGGGATTACAAGCATGTGCTGCCATTACGCCCTCAATTAGTATCTCAAGGCTTAGTCTTCATCGAGCTCTATCTCTTTATAAAGCCAAACAATATTTTTCCTCCTTTTTTCTTGGAATGTGCTCTGCTCTTCTCAGTTTGACACTAAACTCTTAATTCTCCCACCTCTTTATGATTTCTGATTCTTGAATCCTGAAAGTTTTAGAAAAGTTTAGGCAAGTTTCCAAAATCCTATTCTTGCCACATTTTCTTCTACATCTGTGTAGGATCTCACCCTGTCCAATTTCAGCAAGTCCCACAAATTCATTCACGACCTCTTTTGGAGCTAACTCTTAACAGAAGTACCATGCAACTGGCCTTGGGCTTCTTCACTCACAGAGGGGGAAAAGGTGAATACAAAATATAATTTCTACATTTTAAAGTGTGTGTGTATATTTTTTTTTGAGCAGAGTCTTGCTCTGTCACCTAGGCAGTTCAGTGGTTCAATCTTGGCTCACTGCAACTTCTGCCTCGGGTTCAAGCAATTCTCGTGCCTCAGCCTCCCAAGTAGCTGGGACTACAAGCACATGCCACCACACCCAGCGCTAATTTTTGTATCGTTAGTAGAGATGGGGTTTCACCATTGGCCAGGCCAGTCTCGAACGCCTGGCCTTAAGTGATCCACAAGCCTCAGCCTCCCAAAGTGCTAGGATCACAGGCACGAACCACCATACCAGCTATATAAATACCTTTATACACATATAACCAGAGGAGAAAAACAGAAGTAAATTCACTTAAGTTTTAAGAATCATGATCTGTTTTATGGGTAACATTTTATTTTTCTGTATTTTCAATACACACACACATTCGTGCACACACGTGCACGCGTGCACACACACACACACACACACACAGAGCCCTATTTTTTTAAGTCCCCATTTCTAGCTCATAACTCCAGCTGTTTTTGCAGGCCAGAATCTCACACTACTATTTTCAAAAGCAAGTCACATTATCTTCCACCTAGAGCTGTCTTTCTCCCTCTGTGCCCAGTCCTCCCATAAACTTCAGAGTCATTTCAACTTGTTCTTCTGTTCCCACATCTAGTCAAAAATCCTACTGGAAACAATACATTTCAATCCCTGAGAAACAATATTATTACAGAGGGCTTTAGAATAATGATCTCAAAGGAGCACTAAAAAGCTAGCAAAATGAAAAACCCCCCTTTTTCCAGGTCAGAGATGTGAGGAAAATCTGCAAAGAGAAAGCCATACGCTTGGCATAGAAGCAGCTTGTTCCTGGGGAAAAGATGGAGATTTGAAAGAGCAGGCCAAAGTTGGACAGTAAGCCCAGGGGGAAACTGTTGAGCAGAGTCAAGAGGCTGGGGACCTGAGCCTGCATTTTGGGGGTACCCACAGAGGACAAAAGGGGGAACACGTCATAAATTCAGTTTCAAATGGCACTTTGGCCTAAAGTTGTTTTGCTGCCCAAACTGGCATTTGATATTCGTTGAAATGAAAAAGACACACCAGCCATCAACTTTTTACCATGTAATTAACCAGCTCTGAATAATGTCATGTCTTTTTACTGTAATGCTCTTTTGAAAATGTACAGAATTCAAAAGTCACAAAATAGTATGGACCTTGAGAACATTGTGCTAAGTGTAACAAACCAGTTACAGAAAGATAAATACTACAGGATTCCACTTGCATGAGCTGTCTAGAGCAGTCCAGGTGATAGACTCGCAGGGCAGGAGAAAGTATCAAGTACTTGTTTAATGGCTATGAAAAGGTTTGGAGACTGGTTGTACAATATGAATATACTTAACACTGCTGAACTGTACCTTAAAAATGTTTAAGGTAGTGAGTTTTGGTATATGCATTTTATCACAATTAAAAATTTAAAAAAATCTTAAGTCACAAAGTAGGATAGAAAGTATCACCCAATTGTGCCTTCTGGCCACTCAGTTAGGATATCCTCTCATCTTTCCAAGTACATTCTATCTATATATGTTTGCAAATATACGCCTTTTGAGATAAAACACACCCATACACAAATAGTACCGTATTACATGTACTGTTCGTGCACTTTGGTCTTTTCATTTACTATATCTTAGAGACCTTACTAAATTACTTCATATCAAGCTGGCTTACTCCTTTTAAGAGCTGCTACTAATCCACTGTATGACTGTA